ACGGGTGACAGGTATGCTTCCAGAGCATATAAATAAGTTGGAATTGCGTGCACTGTTGTCATCAGTGAAATGGAGAGTTTGCCGTTTGCATCGGGCGCCTGTTCGTTTTGTGCATTTGGTTGATAGCCTAGTCGTGCTACAGGCCTCCTCGAAGGGACGGTCCAGTTCGCGTAAGTTGCGCCGAGTGATGCAACGATTGTCAGCTTGGCTCTTGGTAAGTGGCTCCATCATGATCCTAGGATACGTATCGACGCACCTGAACCCCGCAGACGAACCCAGTCGCAGGAGGTCCAAACGCAAATGGTCAAGCGTTGCGTAGTGGATTCCCCTAAGGAAAAGGTGCGTAAGGAGCGTCGGCAAAAACTAGGAACTTTGAAGAGCCTCATAATCAAGCCAGCCACAAAAGTCCGATATGATCGTGCTTTTGCTTCATTCTTGCAGTATCAGAGGAACCACCGCTTAGCGCTTGCTAAATCCAATCCTGAATTAGATGTTCAACTGTCGGACTATCTTGAGCATCTATGGGAAGAAGGTGAAAGCCGCTACTTGGCCGCTGATACTTTATCAGGTGTGCAGCATTTGCAACCCTCGGTAAAGGGGCACATACCACAGGCCTGGCGCCTGCTGAAGGCTTGGGCCCAGAATGAATTGCCTGCACGGGCTCCGCCCTTCACAAAAGAACAAGTTGAGGTCTTGTGTGGATGTACTTTAACCACCCCTTGGATGCCCCTTGCCCTCTTGACAGGTTTTTGGGGCTTGCTGCGCACTGGTGAGCTTCTAAAAATACAAGCCTGCCATGTGATCCCCTCAGGGGCACATGTACTAATTCATTTGGGTGAGACAAAAATGACATCTCGCAATGCCGGTGTGGAAAACGTGTACATTCATCATATCTACACGGCTCAACTGTTGCAGGCATGGGCCTCCGTAGCCAAGCCACATGATTATCTTGTGCCTGTGTCGCAATACCAGTTCAGGTTGTCCTTCAGCCAAGCCATCCAAAAGTGCCAATTCACGGGGTTCAAGCCTTACTCCTTGAGAAGGGGAGGTGCTACCGCCTTGTATATTGACACTAAAAGCTACACTCAAGTGTGCCAGCAGGGGCGATGGGCTTCAGAAAGAACTGCCCGCATTTATATCTCCGATGGAGTTGCACTTCTAACCGAGCACTCGTGGGTCATGTCACGTAAGCAAAGGTGTTTTCAGACCATGTGGTTCAATAAACTTAAAGCACTTGAGCTACCGATATATCGGAGAGCAGGGGAACGTGGAAAGGCATTCTCCAAGTCGCCGATGATGGTTAGCTCTAATGCTACCCACTTTTTTGCACCAAGGACGTGATTCCGCCTTGCTTCCGAAAGTGATGCCGACTTGGATTGGTTGGATGCCAAAGCAACCCCGAAACTTTCCGGACTAGTTTCTCTGTTTTGTACAAACTACTTGCTGGAGTGAAAAAAGGGAGGGAAGGCCGAGCGTGATTCCTTGACATACGGTTCGAAGTTTAGGAATCCGCCGCGCCGCTCCTCCCTTTTGCTCGTAGTGCTTCCGTCTTAGGCCCGCCCGCCCGTCCCAGGGGTTGCACGGAAAGGCATTCTCCAAGTCGCCGATGATGGTTAGCTCTAATGCTACCCACTTTTTTGCACCAAGGACGTGATTCCGCCTTGCTTCCGAAAGTGATGCCGACTTGGATTGGTTGGATGCCAAAGCAACCCCGAAACTTTCCGGACTAGTTTCTCTGTTTTGTACAAACTACTTGCTGGAGTGAAAAAAGGGAGGGAAGGCCGAGCGTGATTCCTATAATAATAATATTAATGATATATAGATAGAGATATGTGTATATATATATAGACATGTGGTGTCTAAGAAAGACACATGCAGAGTAGACAGGGCATTCCCCTTGAAAAATCCTGCAAGGTAGGACGACAGGGGGGGGGAACATATCACCAATACACAACTATACGTTGTCCATTACCTTTTATGAGTGCACGACGGTACGTGATTGTTTTGAAGAGTTGACATGCATACAAGCTAAGGTGTATGCTGGAACTGCGTCAAATGTCCTTAACGCATCAGCGGTATGGGATTGCAGGCACATTCCATGTGAGCAGAAGGTTCTGAGCCCCTTGGGCTTTGCTCCAATTGCTTAGCAGAGATGAAGACAGTTTGTTGGCAACTTGTTCTGAGACAAGTCTTCCAGAGTCTGGTGTTTTTTTTTTCACACGATCTTTCATGTGGCTGGCTCCAGTACAGGTTGGGTCGCAGGCTGCAGGCCATTGAACTTCACTGTGATTTTCCGCGGGCTTTCAGCGGCAAGCAACTGAGTGGACCAATATCTGAGCAGGAGCAACACAAACACTTGACATGTTTGTTTACACACTACTGCCATGCCATGCGTCCGCTTGCTGAGTGGCCAGGCGGTGCTAACGGAGGATGAGTTTGTTGCGTGGTGGGAGGAGTGCCAAGAGCTTCGGGCAGGTGCTGCATGCTTCCTTGACGCGCTGAGGCGCCGGGTGGCTGGATGCCTGGAGCTGCGGAATTTCCGGCAGCTGGCGCTGGAATGCGGGGAGCGCGTCTTGGGTGCGGACAGCTGTTGGATCAACGATGCCAGCCTGGTGGCCGTGGTACGGCAATACACCCCCGCGAGCGAGCGGGAGTTCGTGGAGCTGTTGCAGGCAGCTGGCAATGGCGACACACAGCAAGTGGTGCGGTGCTTGGAGAAGCCCCTTCACCCAGACACCAGCGACTATGCTGGCAAGTCGGCCCTGCACAAGGCAGCGGAACTGGGGCACTTGGAGATTGTGCAGTGCTTGCTGGACGCTGGTGCAAATAAGGACAAGACCATAGAGGATGGTTCCGGGCGGGCGCCCGTGCACGTGGCTGCTGAAAGAGGCTGCCAGGAAGTTGTGCACTGCTTGCTGGAAGCTGGCGCTGACAAAGATCAGGCTGATGAAGCTGGGCGAACGCCCTTGCTGTCGGCAGCCATGGGCGGGCATTCGGAGGTTGTATGCTGCTTGTTGGAAGCCAGCGCTGACACAGAAGCCGCCTGGCCTGGCGCGCGCACGCCAATGCAGGTTGCTGCTGTAGGTGGACATCTTGAAGTCGTGCGAAAATTGCTGGAGGCGAAAGCTGACAAGGACAGGCCTGATTCAGATGGGACTACACCAATGCTGTGGGCTGCAGTGAACGGCCATGAGGAGGTTGTGCATTGCTTGCTGAAAGCTGGGGCTGACAAGGACAAGGCGGACAGATCAGGTCGTGTGCCAATCTATGCAGCTGCTAGTTCAGGCCATCAAGGAGTTGTGCGTTGTCTGCTGGAGGGCGGTGCTGACAAGGACAAGACAGTGGATGATGGGTTTGGCTGGTCAACAATGCACGTGGCTGCCAAAACAGGCCATGAGGAAATTGCGCACTTTTTGTTACAAGCCAGAGCAGACAAGGACAAGGCTGACAGCGATGGGCACACTCCTATGCATGTGGCTGCCCATTGCGGGCATTTAGACGTTGTGCGTTGCTTGATGAAAGCTGGCGCTGGTGGGGACTGGACGGACCGTGGAGGGCACACACCGATGATGTTAGCAGCAGGAAGGGGCCATTTGGAAGTTGTACGATGCTTGCTTGAGGGCAATGCTGACAAAGACAAGGCGGACTCTCAGGGGTGTACGCCCTTGCATGTTGCTGCTGAAAGGGGCCATCCCACAATCGTGCGCTGCTTGCTGGAGGCCGGTGCTGATAGCGATCAAGCCGACCATCAGGGGTGTACTGCTATGGTTTTGGCTGCTGGCCGGCGCCATCAGGAGGTGGTGTGCTGCTTGCTGCTTGACTGCTATTGGGTTGAATCTTTAGACTTTAACTTTTTGGGAAATACAGGTGTTTTCCACTAAACCTCCAAAAAGTTAAACTTTTTGCAGGGGGGGTCAACAGCAACCAAGGCTGGACCATGGCGCGGACAAAGACAAGGCCGACAAGAAGGGGCAAGCGCCCTTGCACGTGGCCGCCAGTTTGGGCCATCTCGAAGTCCTGCGCTGCTTGCTTCGAGCCAGGGCTGACCAGAACAAAGCGGATGGTCAGAACCGCACGCCCATGCAGGTGGCAGCCGGAGTGGGGCATTTCGATCTGGTGCATTGCTTGCAGGCGGCCACTCGGACAAAGCCATCCTGGAGAAGCAGCAAGACACTGTGAGCAAATGTAGGGTCAAAAAGAGGGCAACCCCAAAATGGATCCCTGGTAAATCGAAACAAGGACTAACACCTGCCGTCTGCTGGTGGTTTCATTTTGATTCATACCCAATGTGACTTCGTTGGCCCAACGATTTCCGCCGGTTTGCTCGCTGTGATATATTTTTTTCGCACAAACGAAGTGAGCGGCGTGCATCTTGTCAAACACCGCGCAATCCAGAGGGGATCTACGTTTCTTCAAGCCCCCAGGGGCTACTGGATTCGCCGAACGTAGCGGGCGGTGCTCCCGACGATACCCATGTAAACACCCAGCAAACCAGGACTGAATATTGATTTCCTGGTGGGTATGCCGGGCAGTCTCAAAACACTCGTACCAACTTGATTTAGGTAGATTTAGGTAGATGACAGCTGGCATCGGCGTTGGTGGACCTGTACCAAATTTCTCTAAGCAGCCGACCTGTACTGATTTAGCTGCCATGTTGCGATTTGGTTTCGTTTTCAGGCGGGTGAACGGGGATTCGCGTGAATGTTGCTTTGCGAAGTCAAAACTATGCGCAGATACGTGCCCCGTTTCCCCCACAATACGGAACTGACTCTTCCTCCTTGGTTTCTTGACATGTCCTCCATGACCGGAAATCCATCCATCTATTGTCCAGTGAATCCCAGTTCCCACTACAACAATTCGGCAACCCTTTAACTACCATAGTGGTAACTGGATTCACTGGCTTGGATGCAGATCTTGTTTCTCTCAAGCTGTCTACAGGGCCCGGTAGAAGCCGATGTGGCTTTACTCCCCCTTGCCGACGGGCAAGTCTCGCCCCGGAGGAAGCTGCTTGACACACTGACCACCCAATCCGCGGAGCTGGTGAGGCACTTGCTCAAGTCCGATGCGCCTCGGCGGGCCTTTTTTCTCATTTTTCCGGGAGCCCGGGTGGTTGGCTTCCTTTTCATTTATCAAACCAAAGCCAAACCAAACAGGTACCCCTAGTTGGATAAATGTTCAATTCTGAGGGATTTGGCTAGATCCCAACTCCCCACGAAATGGCTGCCCTTTCAGGCATGTGGCAAGCTTCCGAACGTCAAGCGCATCACCCTCGAGCACCAAACAGAAACGGGCTGTTTTGAGCAAGACGCCACTCCGGACCCGTTTGTGCATTTCAAAACCTGGTGAAAAGGGCCTGCTGTGCTTCTGTCATGGCTTCTTTATTTTTCTGGAAAGATGGGTGTGGGTATTGGCGTGCCCCGAAGAAACTCACTTTCTGCAACCCACGAGGGCAGCCTACTCTTCAGTACACACGTGTGGCGGCATTGTTTCGAACAAAGGGGGAAGAACCACGTATTCCGTACTCCCGCAAAAGGCAGTACACCCCATTTGTTTATGTCCTCTCAGCGAAGAATATTGTCCACACTGAGGAGTTCACCTGTGACAGGCACTGCTTCAGACCCCAAGTTGGGAATCAGGCCCTCCGAGACCCTAACAGCGGGGCGGGAGTTGCTTTTCGTGTGTGGATCTTCAAGGGCTCCTTAAAAGATACATTTTGCAACCATTTGAAACATGTTGCATTTTCCACCAAAATGAAGGGACACCACCATTTACAAGTTGCAATGTTCAGGTGTGTAATGTAAAGATCCCGGATCTTGAAAAGGTGCAAGGAAGGCGTGGGCTTCTGATATGGGCTGATTCTGTTTTGCTGCATTGACCAGCTCATCGTGTTCGAAGTGTGTGTTTTGTATGTCCAGGATTCTAGTTTGGGCATCGGAATCGTTTGGTTGAAGCCACATTGCAAAAGGCCAGCTCGATTGGAACCATCATTCAGCGATAGCCTCTGAACCCTACTTGGAGGCTTCCAACATGTCTCATGTTGGACTATGGTGAGTGAGTTGGTTTAACGCTGGTAAACAAAACACTCATTCTGGTCTTTCATCTTCTTCTTATTCCGCTGCATCGTCGTATTGTTCTTTGCATTAAGAGAGTACAACCATTCCTTTCATGTTACCTGTAATTGGCGGTTTAGGGATTTGAAGCCTATCTGTTGACACCACCTGGGGTAGCTGCAAAAACGTGTTTTTGTCGGGGGATCTACAGCACCCAACAGTAACAACCCCATTTGGTTTGAGCAATCCCCACGGAGACCCGGTGGAAACTCACTCGGTTCCCAGGTCCCAAAGCTGGCAGAGGAGGCAGCTTTGCTCCAGGAGTTGCTACACCTGGCCCCAGCGGTCGCTGACCCTGCGGATGTCGTCGACCGCCGAGGCAACCGGAAAGCAAGGGAAGGGTGGCTCGTCGTTGTTTGGGGGAGCCCTCTTTAGGTTGGTTTTAAGGGGAAGCCAAAAGGAAACCAGCCATTGTTTTGGGGGTTCAAATCCGAAGAAAGAACCCCAGGAATGGCAGTTGGTAAGGGAATGCAACAGGAAACCAACCGAGCCACTCCCATCTATACTTGACATCTGGGGGCACCCTCCAAAAATGGCTCGCTTCCTTTTGGTGTGTCTAAACAAAAGGGGTTGTCAGGAGAAAATCGCTTGGCCATGATCACCAACATATCCAGGCAATGAGGATTCCAACTTGCGAACCAGATGTTAGAATCTGGAGAACCTGACGGGAAGGGCTAGGACAATCCGCTGAGCTGCATGATGAGATTTGGCACAAGCCAATGGTGTGGAGACTTGGGGGTAAAACATGCCATCCCTAACACTGGGATTCCGTTTTGGTTCGGTCAATGCCTGCTTTCGTGATGCTCATCTCATTGTGTCAACTTGACGGCAAAGTTTGGACCTGGCAATTATTTTCAGTAAATGAGTCATTCAAAATTGGAATCCCCACATCCAACCCCAGAGAGACGAATGATTTCCCAAATACTAAAAAAAAAAAAACGCACACCGAATGAATCACTGGGCTCGACTCAACATTTACCCGCTGCAACTCCCAAAAAGGTTCCCAGGACTTGCCGATAAGGATGGTTCTTTCCGCGTGGGATGATAATCGGCACTGCAGTGTATCGCAGTTCTTTCAGGTACATGACGGTAGCCAGGGGGAATCATGTAAACAGGGCTAAATGGAAGGACGGATGGACTCCTTTTGGCCCCCCGGTTTCGAGGCAACGCCTCAAAGGACAAATCCCATTGAGTTCCATTGAACTTTGCATACTCGGGAGAAAGGATGCACCTAAAAAGTCACCTACATGCATACCTGGCAAAGCTGGTTTTTGATTTCACCCAACTGTGGGTGAGAGGGAGTGTGTGTTTCAGGACACCCTTTCAGGTGGGTTCAAAGGGGAAAAGGAAGGCCGAATTTCAAGTTCGGGGTTCGGATCCGTATTTGGGTCTGTTTTTGTTGAGGCTGCCCCCTCTTGTTTGTGGGTTTGTTACGGGAAACCAGGAGGAACATCTCGAAAACCGCCATTTTGGCGCAAAAAGGGGGTAATTACCCGCAAAAGAAGCGACCAGCCACCCATGTCTCCGATCCTCGACGCGCAGGCGGTCTGCTCATCTTCACCGAGTCGGTCCGTGCCGCGCCAACACAGCAGCCGGTGTCACCTGCTGGGCCATTGACGGGGCCTGCGGCTACGGCCGCCAGGCGCGATGTGGAAAACGGGCGGGCGCTCTTGGCTGCGGTGACTGGGTTCTTCTTATGCTTGGTGGCTCAACAAGCCATCCGGTTCCTCAGCTTTTTGGCTTTTGAGCTTTTTTAGTTGGTTTAGTGGGGGTTTCCATTTAAACCACTTAGCGGATCTTGGGACAGCCCAGTAGGAAGGTCACCTGGCGGTTTCCGAGCCGTTTCTCTGTTTGGAACCTCCAAAAATGAGCACTTCCAATGGACACCACAAGCCAGTTGCAAGTTTCGAAGGGGAAGTCAAGTGACCCCTGTAAATACTCATTCACATCCAAGAAGGAATGAGTTGTTGGCCGGCTCAACAGAAGGAATACTTGGCTTCATCAACACAAAACAGGACAAATTGTCTATGACACAACTGAATCAAAGATAGCCTTCACATTGCTGGTTAAGATGTTCGCAAACATCTACTCAAAGGAGTCCCAGTTTTGGCACGCAGCCAGAACAACTTGTCCACAAGCGCAAGCACAGTCACTCAAAGACGCGCGCACACACAGACACGCACAAAGACACATAGCAGACACACGCACACCGTCCCATTTTTAAGCCAGCTCTGGACGAAGTGTAAATTCACTCTTAACCCACTCCAAGCTCGATCAACGCCGTCCTGAACGATCTGTAAGCCACTTCACTTGTAATCCGCAACCACCCATTTGCTGCAGCCAAGCAGTGCAACCAAGCCTGAGCCCGTCCAAACAAACCATCCTAAATGGAGCCCGCCCCCACCCGAACCAAAGGCTGCCACAGCAAAACATGGCCAAAAGCACCGAAAACCAACAAGGCGCCCTTTGTTTTTTTTTGAAATCGTACATTCTTGAACAATTCTAGTTGGTTGGCATGAGAGGAGTTCACCCCCCCTTCAGGCATGACTCCGTCTATGTCTTGAAGTAGTGCACTGAGTGGCTCCTCTACAAATTTCGATAGATATCAGCGCCATGCTCTCAATGCAGGTTGGAGCCAACGCGAGTTCCCGAGTGACCTATGGCCCTTAGCAGAGCGGGGCCATGGGAAGCAACGTGGTTTTCGCGAGGCCGGTGGAGCTGCCGGAGGACGTGGATCTCTTGGATTTGCACGATCTGTCAGGGCCTCGGTCTCGGCATGCCTTCGTGGCTTGTCTCCACGCGGACAGGAACAAGCAGTGAGGGCTCCTTGATTTGCAGTGGGGTCTTCTTGTTGCGCAATGGGGTTGATGGTCCCATCAACTCACTCCCTGAGTTCCCACTCAGGAAGTGAGTCAATGGCGAAGAGAACAAGTGTCGGGACAGAAGACGTGCAAACTCATTCAGAAGACGTATTGCGTGGGCGCGCAAGCCCACCTTGAGCCATCCCAAAGCCACATTGAAATGACTTGATTTGAGGATTGCTGGGCAGATGGGTACCAGATCTGAAACCATGCCGTACATTCAAGCTGCACAGCAGCTTCATGGAATGTGCTGCTTTCCAGAGGCACATCGCAGCTCTAGACCAAATGCACGAGCTTCAAGAATCGTAATGGAGGTCCCGAGTGTGAACCACAAACAGTTGCACCGTGGGACACCTTTGCGCGACTACTTGGATATATGCCACGAGTGGGTTGGCTTCTGTGAATTTAAACAGGGGTCAGCTCAAAGGTTGGTGGACAATCGCCAAATGATGTGCACCAACATGTCCCTTATCAAAATTCACACCCACTTTGGCTCCCATTCTAAACCTATTTCACCCACCCGGCAACCGTTGGCCCCAACCACTGCTCTTTGGACACTTGGGACTTTCTGCACGGGAAAACAGCAGAGCCACACTCAAAACCGGTTCGGGTAGAAGGTGAGTAAGGGACACTCCCAACCATAAATGACTGTGGCTCACAAAAAAGGTACCAAAATGGATCCCTGGTAAGTGGAAACATGGACCAAAACCTGCGTAACCCCTCCTGTTTAATTTCGAGCCACGCCCAAATAGTTGCGGATGTCCGCCTTCTTAATTCTTGAAGTCTTGAAGCATGGTTCTGGGTTGGCCCCTTTTAATACCGGGTTTTGCTTATGACTCAGTTGGCGGCTGCTGGCAGTGAGTCCTGTCGCCTGTCCGCACAGCTTCGCCCACTCCGGTTGGCTCAGGTCTGGCGTGCGCGTCTCGCCACCGGCAGCTGGGCGGAAGACATCCTGACTAGGTCCAGCTAGGTGCCCTGTCTCACCCTTTTTCGGTTGGGGGAGGGTTTCCCTACTAAAATAGACTACAGAAGAAAAGGGTGCCTTTATTCTAACCTCTGTGCTGAGGACCTAGCTGAGACTGTGGGGGAATGTCAGGGCTGCCCTTCTTCTTCCACACGGGGATCAATCCGCCGTGCTGTTCGAAAACGAATTCCTCTGGGGAAGGCTGTCCCACCCAAAACAATCAAACATAGAACCTGCGCGGGGGTTGACCCCCGCTTGTTTGTGTTGCTAGACTAAACAATTGGCCTGGCCTGCCCCTTCTTTAGACCCTAGATCCCCTCCTGGGTTCAAACTTAAAACCAAGCAAGACCTTAGAGGCGGGTTGTTCATCCCACGATCCGGAGCTCTATGTCTTCCACCTGCATTCGTGTTGCATGGATCATTTGGTGTGTCTTAAAACAGAGCGGATCCCCCCAAAATGGGCGGTTTCCCAAGCCAACCCAAAAGGGGTCCCCCTAAACCCAGACGCTCCGTGAAAAAACCGGTGAGCATACAAAAGCGGGAAATTCCTATGTAAGCAATGGTTTGCTGCTTTTTTTTGGGGGGGGGGGTTCCGGACATTTTGTCGTACCAACACATTTGATGAGTTGGCTTGTTGATTTCTCTTCTTTCCACTGGGTTTGGCTCAACGTATCGAAGGGGGCCCTCATAACTTGGTGGTTTTCCTTTTGGTTTCCCTTTAAAGCCATCCCAAAAAGACGATCGACTCCAAGACGAACGCAGGTGCTTAGCCTTCAAACAACAATGCTCCGAGGCGTCGAACGGAGGCCCAGCTGATGTCGGGACAGGCCGGCCTTTTCTTCGCCTGTGCCCGCCATCCTGGTCAAAATATGAAGGGGGCCATCTGGAAATCGTTGAGATAAATTCCAACTTTTGTGAACTTCTTGGATAGAGCAAACGAGAACCGCTTCAGTCCAATAGCTTGGAAGGCAAGGAACACACGAGACAAGCAGGCACCAGTACTCAGTTGCCAGAGGATCCTGAAGTTCCCCTCAACTGTGGCAGAGACATATGTTTGTTTCTTGGGATATCTGGCGGAAGCGAACAGCTAGGCATGTACGAGTCTCATTCGACGGACATCGCCAGATGGCTGGACCCCGGCCTGAACTTCCCGCACACGCCTCTAATTGGTGGTTTGGAGCCCGAAGGAGGGGTTTCCAATTTACCCTCTACAAGGGCTCAAATCCTCAAACCGCAGCAATCCAAACCACCAATGAAGGCACAGTTGATTCACTAAACATTCCAGAGGCCTCCGAAACTGAGCTACCTTGTGGCTCCCTTCAAGGCATCAGGCATGCCTCCCCGCACGTCGCACGATTCCCATTCGAAGAGCCCGGGCCTTTCTGCATCAGCTCCGTATCCACGGATTGCATCACGTACTAAGATGATCAGGAAAGCATATATTCAAACAATGAGTTGCAGCTTTCAAAATGGGTTTGTCACAAAATAGGGGCACCCACAAAATGGTGATGCTTCTGTTGGTTCCCTTTCAAAAGCATCCAAAAAGGGGTCCTCTCAAAGAAGGACACACCCATATGTTGCTTGCTGGCCCATGAGGGTTCTTCGGGCTCCCTTCACAGGCGTGGGCGTCGCGCCTCTCATGCAGGCCGGCTTTTCCGAGGAGTGCGCACCCGAACTCCGGGGGCCGTTTGGGGCCGTTTGGGGCCGTTGGGGGGCCGACGCGGGAGAACCAACGACAGAACGCCACCAAATCGAGATGACCGGGGGCCTAATCTTTCGGAGGTCTGAGAAACTCAATCTGTTTTTGCGGACGCCAACGGTTCAAGGAGACAAAACGGTCTGGATATGTAATTCGATCCGGTATTCAAATATTACATAATATATTTGACATATATATTTGACTGGGTCGATCACAACCTTTGAACGCCCCCATGTTCGACGGTTGAACGAAGACTTCGCGTTTTCCAGCTGAAGAGGCGGCATTGGCGCTTCGAGGGACTGCGGAGCAACAATCCACTGCTTCCCTTACAACAATCTGTGTGTGCCTCAGGCTTCAGTTCTTGAACAGTTTGGTTGTTTGTGTGAAGGGCTGCGTCTATCTGTTTTTTGTGGTAGAGGCTGTATGTGAAGTCTGGTGTGACTGTGCCATCAGCAGCAGGTTTCTACAAACCGATGCCATGTTGTGGCCTTGTCCGTTTGTCATTGGCCTTGTCCCGGCGTATTAATCATTCAAGCACCAGGTGGTATGCGCAAAACTGATTTTCCAGACAAGGTGCATGTACCCGGTGTGGTCTTGCTAGGCCACAACACGCAAAGTGCTTGGTGAATTTGCCAATGAAGTACAAAGACGGCTGCCTGCGAGGCAGTCGGACTCTTGAACTTGCAAAGGAATCTTCCTGTTGAACACAACAGGCAATCTGTGGCCCTTGCTACTTGTGCTTGAAGGTTTCCGCACATTTGCATGCGTCATTGCATCTTTTGTACCTTAGGGATGGTTTGTGCCTTGCTCATCAGATCTGCACATGGTTGTGATTGCTTTGCAAGCATGTATGCATTGGTTTTGTGACCCGGCGCTTTTGGCGCCCCGAAGTCTGCCACCAGCCACTCTTGTGGCCCAGGCTGTGTGCAGAAACAAGACTAAGAGAGGCCGATCCAGAGGATAGGCGATAGGCGGAAGCTGATCTAAAGGGAAAGCCATATGGGTATGGGTCAACATGAAACCACCAGAGCAGCTCTAAAAACCCCCCGTTACATCCCAAGCAAGAGTTGTGTCATAACAAGGCCCCGCGTAAGCAAAAGCCTGCACGGCGTAAGCGGGCGTAAGCACTTTTTGGGGAAACATGTTGCGTAAGCACCTGCATAAGCTCTTCTTCGTGATTGCTTGGTAAGCTTTGTAAGCATGCTCGGAAGAGTTGTTTCCCACATGTGCTCACCAATAGAAAAATCCTAGCAGAACTTTGATTGGGAGCTCTTGGGGCTCATGCTAGGTGCTGTCGCAACCTCCAGGGCGCGGGCGCGTAAGCTCGCGCAAGCAGGCGCGTAAGGTTTGCGTAAGCTCGCCTAGCTCAGCTGCCCGCTGGCCCTCGTGATGGATGCCGCTGCCGCAAAAACCTGTTTCTTGACTTGCAGCAAAACCAACAACGCCAAGCTGCTGAAGCTCGCGAGCGTAACTCTTCGTCATCTCTTCCACAGAGTCATCCACATCATCTTGAACAGTTCTGGCGGCTGCGCGGGAAAAGAAGCCCGCGTAAGCAATTCTTGAGGGGAAACGCTCAAAACGCCGACGCGCAAGCGATGCGTAAGTTTTACATGCTGTCTTACTGCCGCGTAAGCTAAAAAACATGGGTCGCGTAAGGAAAGCGCAAGCTTGCGCGTAAGCAACTTGATACGACATAGGGATTCATGGGAAGTTTATAGAGTTGGTCCATGTTTCCACTTACCAGGGTTCCATTTGGGGTATCGATTTTTGACTCACAGCCTTGTGGCCATGGGTCATAACCTATGTTCACCAGGGGTTTTGACCCACAGCCATACTGTGACACCTCGGCCCTGGTCAGGCTCCGGAGATCCCAAAGCATTTTCACATGAGCTGCGGGGACGCAGAGGACGAGAATCAGGACCGCCCCAAATTTTAGCGGGACATCGCCTGTTTTTTGTTGAGTCGGAGGCCATGCGGAAAAAAAGGAATCTGTGGTTAAACCCTCACGTTTCCCTTAAACATGGGCTATAGCCCCAAAATTATGGCGGGTGAATTCCCTTCATGGGTAGTTCGAGGGTCCAGGTGCCAGCCCTGTGGCGTCCTCTAAATCAAACTTTTGGCTGGGCCTTCTGCAACAATTGTCAATCCCAAACACAAACGCTCACAGGCTGCTAAAGGCGATCTCCGTCAAAGTTCTTCATGTTTGCGTTTTTGTTTTTGTTTTTGTTGACGGAATTGCCCTGGGAAAATCCAAGGTCGAGTTCCAACAACATCCAATCCAAGCGTTTAGGGGATTGGGCCTGACCTGCCAGCCTGCCAGCAGTCGGGATTGACGTTGTCTATGCACGAAACCAGCCAGAACCAACAACGAAATACAACGCAGCAGAGGTGTTCAATGGACAGCCGTCAATCAAGTAAATGGTCACGCGCCTAAAGCAATTGGGGGTTAGAATCGAGCCTGACCAAGTAGTCTTGGATTCTCCTCAGTCCTGTCCGGGCCCAATGATTATTCAACATAGCTACTTCCCGGTGGGTTAATGGTTTAAGCCAGAGAAAGTCAAACGTAGTCTCGATGTAGATTTCACTGCTCACCAGTGGGAGAAGCCTTTTTACCGTTTACCTTTTTGAGGTCAGCTGAATAGCGTGCTCCCTTAGTCAAGCCTTTTTTGATGCTCCAAGTGCAAAACACAATGAAGCAGTGAACAAAAGAGAAAGACCAAGCAAAACCGATGCGAAGGCAAGGCAAGACAAGCCAATGGACAACGCCAACAAAGCATTGATCAACGCAGAGAAACTAGGTGCCCCAGTAGTACCCTTCTCTCCCCTGTTTTTCGGGGTTCCCCTACTAAAATAGACAAATCAGAAAAGAAAGTTGGGTACCAACTTATTCTAAGCTCTCTGCTGGAGGACCTACTGTGGATGGACGAATTCCTGCACCATAGGGAAACAATGGGACACCATTGTTCGTTGGTATGTACGGGGGAATCATCATTCCGTTGGGTTTCTGAACGGTGGTGCGTTTAAATTTCGTCCATCCACAGTAGGAAACAAAAGGCAAACCGCAAAACGAAGGCTGTGGGCTGGGGCAGGACCTGGAGAAGATGTACAGCTGTGTGCTACCAGAGGCCACCCTTGCCGCCTGGCGCTCGGCTGTTCGGGTGGGGCAGGAGTCCGGAACGAGGTGCGACTTGGATTGGTTGTTGAGAAGCAGAGATGATTCAATTGGTGAATTTTGCTTGGATGTTAGGACTTTAAGTGTTTGCCAACTAATGGGTTTTCCATTAAACCACTAAAAGTTAAACTTTTAGCAGGGGAGCAGAAAGCAATCGAGTCATGTCAAATTGTTTGCTTGCGCCGTTGGACTCACCATGGCTTCTTTGTCATGCAGTTTCTTTGTGCGCTGGCCTGCTTGCTCGCCTGAATGGTGGAAAAATGTTCCAAGGCGCGCCTATTCATGATTTCTTGGCCCCTTCCATCGATCAAAGTTTGCCACATTGCCCACAATCGGCGGTTTCCGGTCAGCTCTTGTTGGCTTGCCAGCCCGTACTTACCCGGTCACGTGCCTTGTCGCTCTCTTTGCAGAGGATGGCTTGCCTTTCGCTGGCAATACCTTATATTTGTGGCGGGCTGTGACTTAATGTTGGATTCATCCCAGCGATTGGAGAACTTGTTCAGGGATTGAAGCATTCGCCGTGACTATTTCAAGTTTGACGCTCCAATTTGCCGATTCACCACCAACGAGGCAATATCGGATGCCCCCCGGCGAGATGCGAACGAGTTTGAAGAAACTTGGCACAGATCAGCATGCCCTACACGTGCCTACTATTGCCACGCTAGATATATTATTTGCATTTTCATGACCTGGGCTTTTCTATCCTTCAGATTCCTGGTCTGTACCTGAACCTACAGCCTCCCCAAGTTATGGTGGGCGAATTCCCCACCTGAACCTCCAGCCCACCAAGTTATGGTGGGCGAAGTTTCCCCAGGTCCAGACAGAGCCACGCTCCAAAAAAAGGCGCTGGGGATGGGATTCCGTTCCCTGCCAGCTTCGAGGCCAGGCAGCCCGAGACGCTGGCAGACTTCGTCTCAGACGCCATGAGGCAAATGAAGGGCCAGTAGCGTCGCCTTGCCAACTACTGGGGTACGGCTTCCCAAAGCCCCAACCCAGAGAAAATGGGTGGGCTTGTTTTTTTTGCTACCTTCCAAGTCCATTCTGAACCCAATCCGAATCTTTCTAGAAAGCCTCCAGACACCCAGAAAAGAAAAAACAACGGATCCAGTTTTTGAGAAGAGCGATGGTTGAACAGAATTGGGAATCATCCCGTAGAATTCGCCCCTCCGCCCAGCTTGAAATGAGCCTCTTTTCTTGGAACCCTTTGTTGGGGTCGGTTCAAATGAAATGGGAATCAACGGTCTTGGATGGTAATCCAAATGACCTCCCAAGAGGATGTTTGGTTCAGTGGATATATTCCCCAGACCTTTGGTTCTGGGACTCCAATTTGATGACGTGATATGTCTTCTGCTGCTTATGGAGTTCAAACTAATCAGAGTCCTAAAGGGCAGTGGTTCAAGGCTTAGTCAGCCAAATGCGTGTGCCGAAGAAAGCCCCGGACCTGAATGTAGGAATCTATGAACGGACCCGTTTGACGGGTCAATCAGCCACACTATGACCACGGGGGGGCATAGTGGATTCATACCGTCCTTTGAAAAGCAGTTCTCAAACGAGGTCCATGAGCGAGGGCCCACGTTGGAACAAACACGTCACGGGTGAGGCAGGCTGGCAAATTCATGCGCCGCTTTGCAACTGGCAGAGAGCAAGTTGCTCAGACTGTTTCCGAGAGGCCTTCCCCGCCAAGATACTTTCATGTGCTTAATCCTATTTGGCCATGGTTCAAAGCCAATGGGATCCCATTTTGGGGTTTTCGGTGCACCACTCATTTTGGTCTATTTTAGTGGCGATTGGGAAGTTCGCTGGAGGTACGGGGGTTTGACGCACGGCCATTTCTGCAATGTGAATATTCCATTTGTTGGCATTGCCTTGGCAGTCTGTTGAATTCTGTAGTTGTGAACTTGGGCCACAGTTGCAAAGGGGCGGGGCAAAGTCAAAAAGTCAGGCATCAAGACGGGTATGTTTGTTTGACGCCCTGGTGGGTATCAGGCAAAAAGACACAAGCTGACCAGCATGGTCATAGACACTGCCATGAGAAGGGGTCTGCCACTTTTTGTGGATCAAATAGATATCTTCCATTTGCTGAATAATATTTGTCCCATGTTGGTTTTAAAGGGAATCTATCACTGGACATATTTTTGTCCAGAAATCTTAACCAAATGGAACATGAGAATCAACACATGCAGAGGAGCAGCTGGTGACACTCACTGACCCTCAACTCGCAATGTTCGAGGCCCCACATTCCATTGCTTTCCGTTTTTTTGGAAACCTGTCGCCATGCGTTTCTTTGCTTGGCTTGGGCGACGGAGAGCACGGCTAACCCAAACGAAGCTAGCCCAAAGGGAGCCTGGGGCACCAGATGTGCCCGACATGGCTTGCCCAATGGAAATATGGACCAAAAGCTGCGGTTTGCTGGTGCCTGAATTTTGACCCATGAGATGTTGGGGGAAAAATATATGAAACGTCTAGGATATGGACCGCAGGTTCTTTTAGTCCATGTTTCCATTTACCAGGGTTCCGTTTTGGGATTACACTTTTTTGGACCCACAGCCAGATGTTTGCGAAAGGTTTTTGGGTAGATGTTGGATCTGGGAGCTCGTCGCACTTTGCTTTGACTTTCGGCTGGAAAGGACTTGGGGGAAGACTGCCCAGCACCCAAAGAGGTTGCGCTTGCCGCTGGGAGGGCTTCAGGAATTTCCTGGTGTAAGCCGCGTTTGGCTTCAAATCTAAGCCATGCCCTGGATAGAACCGGGCTTCGTTTGTGTTTTGGTCCAAAGGAGCTCTGCCCGGCACCCGGATACGTTGGCCATCCTGCGACTTGTCGATGGGCGGCAAGTTGGGGGGATCTGAACCTGTCCGCAGATTCAGATGACGGTTAGCCTTTGCATTGCCAGTCTCTCGAAAATTCGGTGGTTAGGATCAGAATCAGATCTCAGTTGTTCAGTGGCACTCTTTTTCCTCTTTTTTTGGGTGGCTGCCTCACTAAAAATGATCTTCCCAAAAAAAGTTCCCTTTTTTGCCAGGGTCACTGAACAACTGAGAGATCCTGCGTAATGGCCAAGGCAGGTCGGCTACTGTCTGTCAATATACGTGGAGTCACACCTCTGAATTGGGGTGCTTGCAACTGTGGCCCATTGTTTCAAGTCTAAATCTTTGTTTTTTAGGTCGCGCTCTTTTGCAAGCCCGAGAGATTGCGCAGGGTTTGCCTTGATTGCATCGCGGGCTGTTTCTGCGATTCGGTTTCCAGACGTGCGTTTTTCGATGCCCGGGGTGCCTTGGAGCCGTGGTACTGCCTCAGGGTGCATGACCACATCTCTTGATTCCCCGGGTGCAGTGAGTTCAGTTTCCGTGGTTCCGGGGTGCCTAGAGTCTCCATGACCCTTGAAAAATGGGTCCATGAGCCCTTCATTTTGGGTGACCCCATTTTTTAAGGGTCATGGAGACTCCAGGTGCTTCTTTGTGGTACTCCAGCGGTTCAAGCGGCGCCGCCGGGCATCAACCGGATCAGAGTCGACCATGCCGGATGCCGCACTGGAAGCCAGGCTCTTGCGATCTCATGGGGTCAAGGATGCCAAGCCCTACCTCCACTTGCTTAAAGAATACGGTTTTCTTCCCCTTGTTAGATTTAAAAGCAATTCCTCACTACTGGATTTGTGTTTTATGTTTTTTCCTGGGGCCTTAACCAAATGGAAGCCTAGGATGTTGATGGGACATGGCGGGAAATCGCACAAGTCTGCGTGAAGGCTTCAGCGAGTTGTCCAAGATGTCAGAGCATAAGGGGTGTCAGGATCCAGGCATGTGCCTTCTTTGTAGAATGAGGCGGCAGGTGACCACAGGCGAATCTGGAGTTGAACCTATGCAAAAAGAGGTTGACAGTTTTTTAGAGTTTAGGTCTGGATGTACCCGCGCGGCGACGGTTGGCTCGACCGCACTTGGACAAGTCCTGACCCACATTGCACTCAGCAGGCCCAACTTTTGTTTCTGCCAGTCTTGGACTGGGGCTTGTCCAGTGTTCGGTGTGGATTTAGCGCCAGCCCATCGGCCTTTTTCTGGCGTAGGATTTTTATCCAGATTTCAACCTGGTGCCAGTCACTCGACTATGTTTTGCCCATCGTGAAAGCCATGCTTGCAGCGAGCCAAGCCGATGCTTTGCTTGGATTCTTCTTTTTTCACCAGGCCATGACCACACGTGAGGCACCAGATCATTTCATGGAATTTGTTGGGACACATTTTGCATTTTTGCTTATTCTTGTTATTGTGGTTTAGTGGTTGAAATCCCCACTTAGCTGCTAAAAAGAATAAATGTTTGCTCCCCTTCCAACGTCCACCAAGATTTGGGCGACGAGTTCCAAGCCCAGATGTTGATTGCCTTTCCTCACTGAGACCACGAGCCGGTACACCTTTTGTTTTTAGGATGCCTGGCCTTGTTGGGCGGTTTGCCTGGGCGCCCGAATCCATTGCGCAACTACATCAATTGGCTTTAGTATCATCCGTGTCCATACGGCAAGGCATGAATAATGCGCTTCTTGAAACACGTTGGCAATATGGGTGTGCCTCTTTTTTGAAGGTTGGTTTCAAAGGGAAATCAACAGGAACGCCAAAGCCATTTTGTGGTTTTCCTACAAAAAGACGCTCATATGAACCCCTGGCCCCGAGGGAGATCGAATGCTTCCGTCGAATGCCGCTCTCGTGGCTGTTTCTGCTTCTCCGGTAGTCACATGTTTTTTTTTGGGAAATGTGATTTTGCCGCCCGAAAAGTGGCACAACAAAAGCATGAGAGTCCCCAAACGCCATTTGTTTCTTGATGGCACAACCGTCCGTATGGGGCAAAAGGAAAACCAAATGACACCAGCCATTGGAGGGGTCCTGGCACCGCTTGTGATACATGGCCATCAAGATGTCGCGCCCTTGCTGATTCAACCTCAACCCCGGAATTATTGGGTCAAATGCCGAAGCATCTAAATGTCAAGCGCAAATCGTGTACTCTGATCATGTATGCCAAGGGTACCATTCAGCGGAATTGTCAAGAGCGTTTTGCTTCACTGCCCTGTCCCGGTCCAAGTCTTAGAAAAAGCTGGATTCCAAGACACGTAGACACGGACCACGACCCTTTGCTGCCTTTCCATCACTTTGCACAAGGGTCTAAACAAAAGCTGATCCTGGCCTCGTTGATAAGGGCAACTCAAGTTGATGTTTGCTGCTTAAATCATCCTAGGGAATCAATTGAGCCAAGCTAAGTTGGCATGTTTGAAGATGCGGGGGGTTGATCAAAAGGTCTTTACATGGGATGACCGTTAGGTCAAACCACTAAAAATAATATATGTCTCACTAAATGGGAAAAGTTACCCATTTTCATTTGGGCCAGACATATTGATCAACCCCCATGTGTTCAACGTGGTGGTTGCACTTTTTTGGTTTCACTTGGCAGAAACCCTGGCTCTTGCCTCACTGCTTTGGCCCAGGGACGACTACGACGGTCCTGAGGTGGGACTCCGGAGAGTGGAAAACGTCGGGAAAACGTCGTGAAGCTTCCACATTTTGGACCCTCCAAGTGTTTGTAAGGCTTAGTTGGTGATCTGGATTGGTGGTTTGGGGAGTTGAACCCCGGGTTCTTGAGGGATGGGAAACCACCCTTCAAAACCAACCCCCTGCTCCAAGCCACCAACTCGAGGCAAGCTGAGGAAGCCTTGGTGTCAAGCTCTGGGGTGCTTCGGAGCGGCTATTTGGCAGGGTGGCATACCTCCTAGAGGGAAGTCTCGCAAGGAGGATCATCGGGGTGTTTCTAGAAATGATCGACCCCATTGGCTGGTATGTAAAGTGAAAGCCACAGAGTCAGGACACCAATCATTCTAAGGTGCCCGTGTTTGGAGAAAGCCCTACATCTTGTAAGAAGGCAGCTAGTCTGACAAATGTTCAAAGGCCAAACCTGCCCCACAAGATTTGCGGAGGTGTGAACCCTGCCCCCTGTCCAGGAACAGTCACATTTGGCTTTGGACCGTTTCGGCTTATCTACACTTCCATCATTTGGTGAGGCTAGGGCCCTTGGTATGCAACACTAGGAAGCCCGAAGTTTGTTTGACGGAGAGTCAATAGAGCTACACAGGGAAAAACACTGCTTCGTGGTCCAGCATGTCGTTACGCCCAAGATTTGTGTGAACTGGGCTTGGGGCAGCAAGCCTTAAGACAGGGGGCCATATCTTTCTTTCCTTCGACTCCACCGACCTGTTGAGTTGAAGTTGTTTATTGATCGATATTAAGTGTCCAGAGGATTTGGCTGGGTTGTTTGAATGTAAGGGAAAATAATTCAGCTTGTAAGACAGGAACAAAAGGCCGCAGTTTAATAACTTTTTAGCAAACGTCGCCTTACCCTTTGGTCTACTTCCGACAAAAACGGAGCCGGTCCCGGGCGCAAGTGAACGCCGATCCAGGCGCGGCACAAGCGCCAGAACAGAGCCGCGGCCCCTAGAGGGCGACAGGGTAAATGCCGCGTGCGTGTAGTACCTACTCAAGGGGTTTGGGGTTCCGTTGTTATCTTCCAGGGCACCCCTTTTGTGGTGGTTTCAAAGGGAAACCAAAAGGACAACAGCCATTTTGGGGCGGTCCCCTAAAGAGGAAGATGCTCCGCTGTGATAGTTTTTAAGATCGCGTGACCTAGATCCTAGATCCCTCCATCAGCAGACGACAAGGGGTACGCCACATCGA